ACTCTCTTCCCTGACAACACAGTTTAGATAAACATTGGATATCTGTACTTCATCTCTGAGTTTTTGAGAGCATATAGTCTGTATTACACATACCTATACTCCACATACAACTCTGTCATAAACATTGTTGGGTAAAGTTGAATATTGTTGAACCAATTTCCAATGCTTCTGAATAAGGTCAATGGAATTAAGACAGTTTTCTTCTTACAATGTATGCCCATAACCAGCAGAGTTAAGAATTTGGTAAAGAGGAGCAAAGATAATCCATATATTCTGGCTCATTATATATAAAAAAAAAAAGGATGTTTATTAGATTCTAAAAGACTTAGAATAAAAAAATACATATTACTGGAGATAATTAATTGGAAAGAGATGCTGTAAATGTAGGGAGGAATCTAAGCTTTTTTAGTTTCTATCTCCCCTGTCTAAATCCTGATCTTCAACTGAACACTTTAACTATATTCCCTGTATTTAGTTAGATAGAAAAAATAGGGAATTATCGAATATTTGTCATGGAAATATAGAATAAATTGCTCTCAGAGCTATGATTTTCTTTGAGTCATTAATTTTAAAAAAATCTTACACAAAATAGTAGAATTATATTCCTCAGTTCATGGCACATGGTCATCACTGGTCCATACAAAATCTTCTCTATGTTTGTTACTATTTATTTCTTTTGATGCACGTTTCCCAAATTCCAGTTTCTTTCCCTTCACCAAAGGAAACCCTTCTCCTGTGTTTTGTATATATCTTTTGGTTATATGTATTCTTGAAAAATGTGTATTGTTTTGTGTGTATATATTCTTTATTCAAAGTGAGTTGCTTTGTGCTTAACAGTTCATTCTATTACCTTTTTTGTTCCTCCGCCTCTTTTAAAAATGTTTATTTATTTATTTTGAGAGAGAGAGAGGCAGAGAGAGAGGGAGAGAGAATCCCAAGCAGGCTCTGTGCTGTCAGTGCAGAACCTGATGCGGGGCTCAAACCCACTAACCATGAGATTATGACCTGAGCCGAAATCAAGTGAGATCATGACCCGAGCAGAAATCAAGAGTAGGACACTTAACCAACTCAGCCACCCAGGCGCCCTCCCCATACCTCATTTTGAAATCAAGATTATGCTAGCCTAATAAAATTAGCTGAACAGCTTTAATATTTTTTCTATTTTCTGGAAAAAAGCACATATGATAGGAGTTGTATACTCTTTGAATGTTTGATGGAACTCACCTGTGAAACCATGTGGGCATTTAAAAAAATTATTTTTATCAGATGCTATTAGCAACTTTTTTCATTTCTTCAATATTTATTGGTATTCTCAAATTTTTATTTCTTGTACAAATTGCATTAGTTTAAATTTTTCTAGGAGCTATCTGTCTCATTGAAATTTTTCAATTTTTGATTTGATAATTATACCCTTTATTAAGTTTCATATCTGTAATATTTGTAGGCTATTCTCCCCTTTTCATTCCGTATGTTGTTTCTTCATTTTCTCTCCCCTTTATTCATCATTAGTCTTGTTCTAAATTTGAGTATCTTACAAATATTTTTTTAAGAAGGAGCTTTCGGTTTTGTGAATTTTTACTACATAGTTTTTGTTCTTTATTAAATTGCTTTCTATTCTTATCTTTATAATTTCCTTCCTTCTTATTGCTTTAAGTTTATTCAATCACTCTTTTTCAAAATTTTGGAGAAATTTTAGGCCATTTATATTTAACTTTTCTTGTTGTAATAAATGTATTTGAAGCTGTAAAATTCTGAGTACTGCTTTAACTGCATCTCATAAAATTTGATATGCAACATTTTTACCACCTAGTTCTAAACGTGTTATTTTCTCTCATGACTGCCTTTTATTTTTTAAAATGTCGTTGCCATTTATCATTTACTATTATTGTTATTTTTTAACACTTATTTATTTTTGAGAGACAGAGTGTGAGTGGAGGACGGGAAGACACAGAATGTGAAGCAGGCTCTAGGCTCTGAATGGTCAGCACAGAGCCCGATGTGGGGCTTGAACTCATGGGCTGTGAGATCATGACCCGAGCCAAAGTCAGACACTTAACTGGCTGAGCCACCCAGGCACCCCATGACTGCCTTTTAAATCCACGTTATTCATTAATACTTTCTTAGTTTGCAAACTGTGAGAATTTTAGGTATCCTTTTGTTATCAAGTTCTACTTTTAGTATAATATGGCTATAAAATGTAGCTTTTTTCAAAGATACTGATACTTTGGAATCTACTGTAGTTTCCTTTAGGGTATCATGCATATCCTGTTTTTGCAAATCCTCTACGTGACTTGAAAATTTATTCATGTATATAGAGTTGTTTTTGTTGGATGGTTTCTTTTTAGTTAATTTTTAAAAATTGAAGTATGGTTGACACATAATGTTATATTAGTTTCAGGTGTACAACATAGTGATCCCACAAGTTTATGTTATGCTATGTCCAACACAAGTTGTAGCTGCCATCTGTCACCACACAACACTATTACAATATCATTAACTATATTCCCTGTGTTGTACCTTTTATTTATTATTTTTTTACATTAAAAAAAGGTTTATTTATTTTTGACGAGAGAGAGAGAGAGAGAGAGAGAGACAGAGACAGAGACAGAGAGACAGAGCATGAGCAGGGGAGGGGCAGAGATAGAGGGAGACACAGAATCAGAAACAGGCTCCAGGCTGTCAGCACAGAGTCCGATGCGGGGCTCAAACTCACAGACTGCGAGATCATGACCTGAGCCGAAGTTGGACACTCAACCGACTGAGCCACCCAGGTGCCCCAAGTGCTGTACCTTTTATATGAATCTTTTGAACCTCATACCTGATTTCCTTTCCTTCTTTGTTTTCACCACCTTGTAGCTCAGAGCCAATTGTTTTTTACCCATCTGTAGCTGGTTGATAAATATATGCCCTGTTAAACTGGCTCTCTGGGGAAAAAAATTCTGACGTGTAACATTCCTCGTTTCTGTAGAATAAATACTTCCAATCATGGCCAATGTTAAGATACCCATGGTTAACAATCGTCTTTCACAATTTCTGAATATTTTACAATTTGCTCTTGTTTGCCAGTATAAGACAAATCCAGTACTCCATTTCTTTTCTTTTCTTTTCTTTTTTTTTGATGTTCATTTTTTTAATATGAAATTTATTGTGAAATTGGTTTCCATACAACACCCAGTGCTCATCCCAAAAGGTGCCCTCCTCACTACCGTCACCCACTCTCCCCTCCCTCCCACCCCCCATCAACCCTCAGTTTGTTCTCAGTTTTTAAGAGTCTCTTATGCTTTGGCTCTCTCCCTCAGAGTCTAACCTCTTTTTTCTTCTTCCCCTCCCCCACGGAACTGGAGAGTGTGATGCTAAGTGAAATAAGTCATACAGAGAAAGAAAATACCGTATGTTTTTACTGTTATGTGGATCCTGAGAATCTTAACAGAAGATGTTCATTTTGTATTTTAGTTTGATCCCCTGGCTTTACTTATTTCCTAGCTTTATTTTCTCTCTGCCCCAGTTTCTTCTCTTCCTTCCCCTTTTTCAGTTGTGTCTGTCTCTGTGAACTGCTACAAGTCCTTTTTGGAATGAGGGACACAAGGCACAATTCATTGGCCAATAAAGAAAAAGACAGCTTTCTAGTTTTAAAAGGCTTAAATCTTAGTTCAGCCCTCAAAAAGTCCGTGCTGTGCCTCACGTGTGTGTATCTCAGGGTCACTCGGTACTCGTGAGAGTTCCCACCTAGACTCAAGGAATACCCTTCTCCAGCCAGCTCCCTCATGTGGGAACCCCCCTGCACTCTTCCCCTACACAGGGTTCCTTTTTTCCGGTTCCTCCATTCCTCCAGCCAGAACAATGATGTTTCTCTAGGCAATTTAGGGCACTGCGGCTTTGCACCTGAGGCCTGACTTCAGGACAAAGCTGGGAGATCAAAGAGGGAGACAAATCCCAAACTACCCATGGGGAGCGTTCCCTCTCCAAGTTTTGGCTCTCCTCATAGCCCACCTGCTTTTGTCTACTGTTCAGAGTCCTTCCGCATTTGCTCTTTGTCTGCTTTCCAGAGTTTCTAGTTGTGATCAGTGGGAGAGATAGGTTCTTAAGCTATTACTTTAAACTTCAGAATAAATCAAATACCATGGCTAGAAAGAACTCAAGTCTCTACAATTTTAGATTTTTTTCTTCTCCTCCAAATGAAACACATACTCCCGAGGGCATAGGCTTGTTTTAGGGTACTTTGAATTTATATGTTAAGCCCGAGATCCAGAAAGAAAAGCAGACAGCAGCTTCCTGGGTAGCCTACTATGATTTCTGTTAAATATATCTCTTATCTGCTCACTTATTAGCAAGATGGCATTGGATATCCAAGCCATATCCCACCTTAGAAGTAGCTCAACATCTTTGCCTGACAGAAGAGGAAGTGAGGGCTCACAGAAGGGGGATAATTTGTCCTGTCACTTGGGAAGTGCATGGCAAAGATTGGGCTGTAAGTCGGCCTGTTTAACAACAGTTACTCAGGCATCTGGTAATAACTTCTTGAGTGTCAACCACTGTGCTGGCTAACTATTGCAGATTTCAAGGAAGACATGATATACGATGCTTGAGGGAATGGAAAGTTTCATATAGTGGGAGAGGAAGGGCATACGGTAAAAAAAAGAACTAAATTCCAGATTTCTGCTTTTGAATTTGCTTTGACTTGGGTCAAGGGACTAACCTTTTCTAAGCCTTCATCTGTCTGTAAATGGAAGTAGTAGTCTAATCCATGTAAGTTCTTTTGTTTGGGTTATAAGAGATAAAGTTTATAAGCATTTAGCGAATACCTTGCTCAGTGTTTTGATGGTTGTTATTGTTCTTTGAGACTCACACATCATTCAATTTTAAGCAATTGTCATGTATTGATCTTTAATGTGAATGAACACATTAAGAAAGGGTATCTAACTTCTGGGAGGGAAGAAGCCCCCTCCCCTAACCTTCATCTCCTTGAGCACCCATTTTTCATTGACCATACCAGGTTCTGGTCCCAGACAGTTTATTACAAAATAAGGAAAGGAGGTCTGAGGAAGATTCACTTGTCATAGAATTTCGGCAGCTCATTACCCAAAATTACTTGATGGTCCACACCAGCAGCTGTAATAGTGGCCAGGTAGATGACACCCCCACTAGAGCCATCCCGGTTCATGGCCAGAGTGATAGCTGCAGAGGGTTTCAGGTTGGAGAGAGGGAAAGAGAATGACTTAGCCTCAGAAATCTTTTCCTTCCTGTCCTGTCTATAAGCTTACTACCACTTTCAGACCTGAAAACCCATCTCCTAGGGACACATATCAAGCGGTGTGCTGGTAAACCAACTTAAAAAAATAAAGTCTTTATTGTAACATCTCCTGGTGTTGGTGGTCTCAAAACTCTCACCACAATGGATTTCAAGTTATGAATAGCTAAATAAGCAGCTTATGAATCCTTGAATATTTAACAATTGACTCTCATGAGCTAGCCCAAGCCCACTCTAGCACACCAGTGATTCTTAGAGTAACTGTATATTTTAATATGGGGTACTCAAAAAAATAGTCAGATCTTTGCCTTTGTTCTGAAGTCCCATCTAGTGTAGCATTGTCCTGCATTCTTTCACTCTCAAAAGTGTTCCAGTTTGGACATTAAATGGCCACTCATGTATTCCTCATTGTGTTCCTTACTCTCAACTTCCTTCCTGTTTTTGAAAACCCTCCCCAGGCACCCTTCCATTTGGTTAGTTACCTTTGGTGGTGAAACACCTGCACTCTTCAGGGGACATGCCTGGTTTATATGCCGCATCCACATAACCGTAGATATAGGTGCTGCCAGAGCCACCGATGGCAAAGGGCTGCCGAGTCAGCATTCCTCCCAGGGTTCCGTACACCTAGGGGAGGTGTCCTCAGGTCAGACTATGGAAGCATCAATCCTCTCCTTGCCACTGAGACAGTCAGGGTGTCTCTATTCTGCAACGAAGCCCCACTATCTCTTTTTCCCGTCCATTGAGATTATACTATGCTTTTAAAGGCAGTGTCCTTGGAACTCATTGCTAGAATGACATATGACCTCTATCTCCCTCTCTAGGGTAGTGGGGAACACCAAGGGAGGGAGTACATTGGGAAAGACTCACCTGGCCCCCGTCACGTTGGTCCCAGCCAGCTACTATGAGATGTGCAGACAGGTCCTCCCGATATTTATAAGAGATATTCCTTACCACGTTGGCAGCAGCTAGAACAAGCGGACATTCTTCCAGTTCCAACCTAAACGAAGTGTTAGTAATAGGGCTCAATATAATTTCCAGACGTTCCACCCTCCTGTGCTGTTAACATGATCCCTGCCAAGGGACACCTGAAATCTGAAACCCATACTTGTAATAGTTCAAACTCCAGCTTCTCTCCCACATGTACAGGGAGACCAATCTCACACAACCAACTGTTAAGAAGATTTCAATGTTCCCCTCCTTTACTCTCTGTCCTACCCACCCATCCCCCAATTGTATAACTCTTGGCTGAAACGGCCCTGCCTCTATGGATAAAAGCAGATAAGCTTTACTTCTGCACCAAGAAGTGATCTTGGCTTCTCACAGGGTAACTGCCTGATAGTATGGTAGGCCACATCATCATCTTCTTTCTTGTTATTTATATTAGGATAGTGATTTACAATTTTCAAGTCATTTCCGCATGGATCATTTGATTCTCAAAATAACCATTGGGTAAGATAGGGTAGGTATTATTAATTATCTCCACTTTACAGATGCAGAAACCAGGTTTGGGATTCAAGTGCCATTTCAAAGATAATAAAAACAGGAGTCCAAACAAGAATTTTTCACTTTTCACTGCAGTGCTCCTGGAATAGGACACTATAGCGGTTTTCTGGTTGGGAGAACTCTAGTGATTGTGGACTGAGAACCCCAAAGCTTCATACCCATGGAGCTCCAGTTGGTAGGCGGCCATGTCAACCATGGCTTGGGCATCAGCAGCCGAACCAGAGAGAGCACAATAGATGTGTTGGTGTAGTGGAGACAGCTTGTTAAACACTCGGTTTACCACTGCCTTTCTGCTGGGAAGGAGTCAACAGTCATCAGCGTTAGTGTTGCCACAATTTTTGAGGTTAATCATCCAGTGTTTGTCAAATTTATTTGACAAGAGGACAGCCACCACAGAGTACATGAAATTTCATACTTGGATTGGAGCAGGAAAAAAAATCATCTCAAATTAAACAAAATATTGCAAGTAATGATTAAAATTAGACTTACTTTTCAGGCTTAGAGTTTATAATAAAACAAAAAATAGTACCTTAAGAATAATGTGCTTAAGCAATTTTTCTTTACTATACCCATCTAGAGGAAGTTGTGTGTTCTTTGGGACATAAAGTAAGCAATATTGACCTAATCCCATATACCCATTTCGCATATGAGGAAACTGGTCAGGATGGAGGAGACAAAATTAGTTCAACATGTACCGGATGAGAAGCTAGGATATCTGCTTGGCAGAACCATCTTTTCTTTCCTTTCTACTTTATTTTATTTTATTTTACTCTATTTTATTCATCTCATTTCATTTCATTTTAGAGAGAGAGCATGAGTGGGGGAGAGCATGAGTGGGAGAGAGAAACAGAGAGAGGGAGAGAAAGAATCTTAAGCAGGCTTCACACTCAGTGAGGACTTGGGGCTCGATCCCACGACCCTGGGATCATGACCTGAGCTGAAATCAAGAGTCAGATGCTCAGCTGACTGAACCACCCAGGTGCCCAGAACCATCTTTTCTATTTCTAAACATAGATGGAAGGAGGGACCCTGAAATCTTTGTATCCTACCTCCTTCTCATACCTTATTCTTATATACCCACTCCTGTAGGGACAGGCCACATAAGCATTCAGGCTCCTGATTCTCCTCCATGAATTCAGGGACCCATACACTTGCCATATATCTCATTATAGGGGCCTTTCTGAAAGGTTAACTCAATTTCTTCAAAGTTCTACTTTACCAGTCTCTTCATGAATGGGTAAGAAAAATCTGTTTTGGGAGCCATTGACATCCTTCCAGAAGCATTCACCTTGACGGGTACTTACCCTACAGACACCCGGGAGTCAGAACCCACCACAACACCTCCGTCGAACTCCACTGCCATGATGGTCGTCTGCGGAGATGTGGAGGATGGGATGTCAGAGCAGGAAGAGTCTTGATTCTCTCATGTTACAGATGAGGAAACATTCCCAGAGAGGGGAGGTGACCAGCTCAAGGTCATACAGTAATTTAGGCCAAGATGACTCCCAATACGGGATTTCCCTTCCATCTTCCCATTTTCTCTATCTCCTCTCCTAGCTGCAAGAGAAGGTCATAGCCTGGTCGAAAGAATCACATCCGTAGGTCCCAACCTTCCTAAGTAGAATCCTTCCCAACTATAAAGAAAGAGGTGGGATGAGGTTTTCAGAGGTAGACATTTGGCTCAGGGGGGCACTTTCAAGCACTGGCGCCCCAGTACTTGTGGTGCAAGGCAGCCCCACAGGTGAATTACTTCCACCACGTGTGCTTGGTGTGTGTGTGTGCAGATATGGTACGGACCCAACACAGAGCAAGTGACTGTGACCTTGGGAAACAGGGTCATGTCTTCTTTTGGCCCACAATTCTCTACCCCACATCCCCCTTAACTAGCTTATTAAACAGCAGAAAACATCAAGGGCCGCAGTGGTTAGCAGGGTCATGCATTAGTAAGGAGGGAAGCAGCCGGGAACATGAGATGATTTAACATGAAGCTTTCATTTAAGGATTTCTGATCAAGAGGTCAACAGTAGCTAGGGGAAGAGATCTGTACCGTTGAGGCGGCTTGTTGGGGGAGTTTTTCAGGTCAAGAAAAGCTGATTTTTTCAGGTCAAGAAAAGAAATTAAGGAAAAGAATTCAGGAAGGTGAAAAAAATAAAGCTATACGGTTTCTACTCCTGTTGAGTTGGAAAGAGCCTTAAAGATTCTTGGTTCGAATGAGGAGACTGAATCATAGAGGAGGCAACTGACTTATCAAGGTCACCCAGAGTTAATAGCAGACTGGGACTAAAACCTAGGTCTAACTCCCACCTCTTGTTTTGACTTCTGTTTCCTACTTCCCACTGCTCATCAGGCAGGGAGGGGAGATTTTCTACCTTATAAATGGTTTTAGTGCATTCTCATCATCCCATAAGTTACTCTGGACCCCAGGGCTATAGCCCTGAGTGTGCTTTCAGACATATTGACTTACCATGAAGAGAGGGCCATTGAATAAGGGCAGCCCTATTCTAGAGGTTATTTCTCTAAGACAAAGCTGCCCCCAAGCCAAGGGTGGTGGCAGTAGTTTGGGAGCAGAAGCCAGCCAGCCTTGAGCCTGGGCGGGCGGATGGGAGTGGGCAGGGACGACCCAGGGAAGGGAGCACAGCAGCACCTGGGCCAAGCAGGAGCCTTCGTGGATCAGGCTGGTGAAGGGCACCACCAGCTCACAAGGAGCCCCCATTATCAGGGCTGGGGGTATGAGTTACGCAGGGGCCAGTTTATCAAAGATCTGTGTGATGAGCTGTCCCTTCTCAATCAGTGCCCCTATTCTCCTCTCCCAAGCGCGCTCCTACTTCACCCAGGGCACCATTTCTTCATCCATCTGCACCTTCTCCACCAGCCCCGCTCTCTAGTCCAGAGTTGAAAGCGAAAGCGCTTCAGAGAAGCTTCCCCTCAACACTTCCAGCTAAGAGCCAAAGCACCTCCTTCTCCACCAGCGTCGCGCGCCTAGTCCTTCGCGGACCCCTTCAAGACCCCCTTCAGAATAGACATGCCCTGTATTCATCGCAGGGCATCTCTACAGGCACTGACTGGCTGCCACAAACTACCTTCTCACTCTGTTAGTCACCATATTCACACCTCAGAGCTTTCGGGGTCCCCCTGTCTTGCCACCTTCTCCACCCCTCTGCTAAACCTCTAGCACAGACTACTTACCCCAGTGTGGACCTCGCCAGACCGCAGCATCTCCGCGAGGCGCCGCTCTCCTTGCCGCCTGGGGCACTGGTTTTCTTCCTGGGACCGAGGGCAGCACTCAGCCTATATAGCCCCGCGCCCTCACCAAGACCGCTAGGGGGCGCCGGGGTCCTTTCGGTGCGGCTTCACCCCAGGCGCTAACCTACTTAGGACAGAACTGCCCAGAGACAAGTGACGAAAAGGCCTGGGGTTAAGAAAGTCCCAAGGCTGGGGTAAAGAAAGTCCCGACAAGTGGGATCCGCAAGAGGTAGCAATGAAAGGAAGGACGAGTGTGCTTGATGTTCGAGAAGGCGGAGCCTCAAGACTTCTCTCTCCAGAACCTCAGATCGGATTCCCACGCCTTCTCCCAAAATAGTCTGGGCGGGCCACATTCTGAAGGGGGGCGGATCTACAGAGCGGCCTGCCGCTTTCGTTTTCCCTTTCCGCGAAACGGCTGGCTTCTAGCTAGCGCGGCCTGAACCTTGCGTTCCCGGGACTTTCCGAAAGCCCTGCCTCCGCCCGCCCTTCCCTCTTCTCCCGGCCGCCGGTCCCTGTGCCCTCACCGGCACAGACTCGATCGGCACCCAGAGCCTCCGGCACGGCGGGGACAGCGGAGAGTCCCAGGCGGGGGCGCGACCCCCGGCAGCGCTCGCGCGCCCATGGCCAGCTCTGGGCCCCCCAGGCCTTGCGGATGCCTCTGTCCTTCCCGAACTTCCCTCGCGTGGCTGGGGATAGCGCTGCTGGTTCTCGTCGACTGGGTGCTGCTCCGGGGCGCGCTCCCCGGAATATGCTCCGTGCTGGTGCCCACCGCACTGCCGCTGCTCCGGGTCTGGGTGGTGGGCCTGAGCCGCTGGGCTGTGCTGTGGCTGGGGGCCCGTGGGGTTCTCAGGGCAACGGTCGGCTCCGGGAGCGAAAGCGCAGGAGTCCGGGGCTGGCTGGCTGCTTTGCAGTCGTTGGCAGCGGCGCTGAGCTTGGCCCTGCCGGGACTTGCCTTGTTCCGAGGACTGAGCTCATGGAGAGTTCCCAGGGATTCTCACAGCTCCAGGATCCTGCACTGGGGAAGTCGCCTGGATGCCTTCGCCCTCAGTTATGTAGCAGCATTGCCTGCCGCTGCCATTTGGCATAAGCTCAGGGAACTTTGTGTGCCGGAAAGTCACGGGGGTTCAGGAGGTGCGGTGCGCCGGCTTGTAGGCTGCCTGGGTTCAGAGAGACGACGCGTCCCGCTCCTGTTGGTCCTGTGTGTCCTCTCTTGTCTTGGTAAGAGGGATGCGGGTAAGAGGGACGGACAGTAGGGGACTGGGCGGGCATCAAAAGTAATGGGCAGTGAGATCGGTTAATGTGGGTTCTGGGAAATGTGGATGGGGGAAGGCGACCCAGCTCTGGTCGTGAGAAGACCACCAGGAAAGAGCTCTGGACTGGGTCTGAGTCAGGAGTCGTGGACTCCAATGCTACCTCAGACGTTGCTTCACCGGCCACCTTGGGCCAGTCCTTTCTTCTGGTCAGCACACCCTATGACCTCTGGCCTTCCTAAGCAAACGCACAAAAGTCTGGTGGGGCTCAAGGTTGTGAGTTCCAAGGTGACCTGTTCAGGCGCAGGGCTGTGTTCTCAGTGTCCTCTTTCTGCTGGTGCCCTCAGGATACTGGTGACAGTGAAACAGTGGGATGGGCTGGAGGGGGGGGGGGGCAGTCTGGTTGGAGCTTATCTGCTTGGCTGACCGGTCCCTCCTTTCTCTCTCCAGGGGAGATGGCCATGCCGTTCTTCACTGGCCGCCTCATTGACTTCATTCTACAAGATGGGACAGCTTCTGGTTTCATGAGATACATAACGCTCATGTCCATTCTCACCACAGCCAGGTCTGGGGGCTGAATGAAGGCGGAAGGTTGAGAATGGGGGGCCCAGAAAAAGGGGGAGATAGAAGTTGGGGCAGCTGTCCAAAGTGCACTTCTTTGGGACCTTCTCTCTGTCCTCTGAACACACCCCGATCCTTTTTCTCTCCATCTCTCTCTAGCGCAGTGCTGGAGTTCGTGGGTGATGGGATCTATAACAGCATCATGGGTCGTGTGCACAGCCAGTTGCAGGGAGAAGTATTTCAGGCTGTTCTGCACCAGGAAACAGAGTTTTTCCAAAAGAACCAAACAGGTGTGTCCTGAAACTCTTTCGTTATATATCTGCATTCTCCCTATATGCCCCATATATCCTCTTTTACTTATAACTTTGGTCTCTCTCACACATAGACATTGTCATTTCTTATTCTCGATATACCTCAAGAGCAAAAATATTATGTTATGTTATAATATTCTGAATTTTTTCCATCTAAGATTTTTCCATGATTTATCCCTATGTGTCTATTTAGATAGAAGCTACAGAATTTCAAACCTGGAAATTTGGAGGTCACAGAGTCCAGCTGCCTATTTTACAGAGAAGGAAACTGACACCTGGACCCTAAATGCTGAAACTGGCATGGTCACCTATGGATAGAGAGACGCTTGGGGATAGAGCCCGTCTCTTGATTCCCAGCCCAGTGCTCAGTATAGTTTTCTGGACTGCTTTCTAGCAGCACCCTCTGTTTTTCTCCAGCTCTGTTGTGTGACCAGCTTAAGCTCTTCTTGCCCTTGTAGGCAGCATGGGGTATTCGTGTTCTTTAAGGAACAAAAATCTGTCAGAGAAATGGAAATTCACATGGGGAGCCTGCCTTCCTTCCTCCCGCCAGGCTTTCTCCTTTCTCTCCCTCCCTCCCTCCCTGCCTTCCTTCTTAAATGTTTATTTTTGAGATAGAGAGACAGAGCACCAGCAGGGGAGGGGCAGAGAGAGGGGGAGACACAGAATCCAAAGCAGGTGCCAGGCTCTGAGCTGTCAGCACAGAGCCCGACATGGGGGCTCGAACTCACAAACTGTGAGATCATGACCTGAGCTGAAGTCGGATGCTTAACCAGCTGAGCCACCCAGGCGCCCCTAGGCTTTTTCTTTCTAATACTCATTCTCCCTACACTGAGATCCCTAAACTGCCCTCTCCCCCTTACCTTGTTTTCCTCAGCCTCCTCAGAACATCGAGTTGTCCCCCCTTCCCCTCCCCCTGGCTCATTGCTAGTCCCACCTACCAGAGCCTCTCATTCATCCACTGTCTTCTTCCCAATCCCTGGCAGGAGCCATCACTTCTCGGGTGACAGAGGACACATCCACCCTGAGTGAGTCTCTGAGTGAGAAGCTGAGCCTGTTTTTGTGGTACCTGGTGCGGGGGCTGTGTCTCTTGGGGCTCATGCTCTGGGGGTCACTGTCCCTCACCATGGTCACCCTGGTCGTCCTGCCTCTGCTTTTTCTTATGCCTAAGACGCTGGGGAAATGGTACCAGGTATGTCCAGGGAGATGCCTCACCCTACACAGACCTTCGTTTCCCAGACTAGGCAGAATTCTTTCCTCTCAGGGTTCTTTCCTGGCTCCCTCACTTGATTCCCCATCTTCACGGGACCCCCTGGCCCTATAAGCCATGTTCCTGGATTGCTCAGTGTTGAGCTCCATGTTCTGTGTGTACTCTCTTCTAACTTCTGCCCACAATCTTCCTTTACAAACATGATCACTGGTCTCAAGATTATGATTCTCTACGACCCTTCTCAGTGATTTCCTGTCCTGTGTGCCTCTTTAGTATCCAGGGAGTATAACGGTGCCCCTTTCTCTTTTCTTCATTCAGCTGCCTCTTCTCACCTTTAATCTCCAACTAGGTAACTCAGGTATTAGTGTCCCTTACGGTCTGCCAACCCTGTGTGACATCTCTTGTCCATGTCTCCACAGGCACTGGCAGCACAGGTCCAGGAATCTCTGGCGGAATCCAGCCAGGTGGCCATTGAGGTTCTGTCAGCTATGCCCACAGTCCGGAGCTTTGCCAATGAGGAGGGTGAGGCCCAGAAGTTTAGGCAAAAGCTGCAGAATATGAAGACACTCCATCAGAAGGAGGCTCTGGCCTATGCAGTCGACCTCTGGACCATCAGTGTGAGCACCCGGAGATAAATGCCTATTCTCTTGCCCCTGAGATGCCTTGACTCCATTCCCTTTTCCATGACTCTGTTCCACACTCCTCCTCCACTGGGCAATGGTTGGTTCGGTGTTCTCATCCTACTCAGCGTTCCTAACTGCCTCCCTCTTTTTAGGCCCTCTGGATGGCTTCCTTTCACCAAGGTACGCAGAGTCCATCCAGCCCCCTTTTTAGGGAGAGGCCACGTTTTCCAGTCCCAGGGCCTTCCTTTGCCTCTCAGGCAGCACTCAGGGAGCCATAAATTCCTGCACCTGGTCCTGCATCATGCTGGGACTCTGTGGCTGTGCTAGTGAGAGCCATTATATAATGGAAAGAGAACCAGAGCCATATTTGGGAATTCCTGGCTTGGTGGCTGCCATTTACTAGCTCTATGACCATGGGCTAGTAACTTCTTTTCTCTTGAGACCGTTTCCTCATTTTAAAAAGTGGGATTGGTATGACCTTGTCTACAGCGTTGTTGATATGAATATTAGATGGCACTACATTCACGAAAGCCTTTTGTGAAGAGCAAAATGCTCCTCAAAAGCGATAATGATGGTGATGGCTTCTGTGGTGTAACTGAGCAAGACACCATGGAGCCCCCACTCGGCATTCTTCCTTTCCCCCTGGGGAGCCTCCGGCTCTTACGTGGGGGAAAGGGACTTTACATCTTCATAATGACTAATGAGTCTAGTTCTTTGCACCTCCCTCGAGATTTTTCAACCACAATCCCTTTTCTCTGTGGCTTTCCCATAGCTCTCAGAGATGCTGCTGAAGGTGGGAATCCTATACATCGGTGGGCGGCTGGTGACAAGTGGGGCTGTAAGCAGTGGGGACCTTGTCACATTTATTCTCTACCAGATCCAGTTCACCGTGGTAGTTCAGGTGAGACCCTTCCATTTTCATTCTCCCGTGCTTTTCTGTCCCACGTTCTGTCACCACCTGTGTCACCTTCCTTCTGTTCTTTACCCTTCTCGTATCACATAACCTTGGCAAGCAGATTCGTTCTCCCCCTTCTAAATACTCATACCTCGCCTCCAGGTACTGCTCTCCACCTACCCCAAGGTACAGAAGGCTGTGGGCTCTTCAGAGAAAATATTTGAATACCTGGACCGGATTCCTCGCTGTCCTGCCAGTGGTGTATTGACTTCCGTAAACCTGAAGGGCCGTGTCCAGTTTCAAGATGTCTCCTTTGCCTACCCAAACCGTCCAGATGTCCCAGTGCTGCAGGTACAACCTACCGATCCTTGGTGTTCACCGGCCGCACTCTCGACTCTGCCATCCTAAACTTCCTTCCTGCCTTCAGCTTGCTTAACACAAGGT